AAGGATGACGTCATGATAGGTCGAGGTTCAAAATCAAAGGCTCAATTCGTTTCTTCTCATTACATTCCAAGAAACGAGGGAACTATTTGTATACGATGAAAATCGGGCCTACTCGATTGTGCTATTTGATCAAACTGGAGCACGAAGACGAGGTGGCGAGTCCAAGGATCGAGGTACCTGTCGAGATCGAGGTCAGCAGCGATCGAGACCAAATATCACGGACTTCGAGCAACGCGCAATAACGGAAAGGCAAGATATCCCCGTGACTGACCGAAGATCATGGCGTAAATCTCGGAACATATCAAATCAAGGGTGGTTATCTAGTTAATCATGGGATTTACTTCTGTAGTTAGAATTTTACCATAAATAGGATTCCTCTACTATACAAAGGGGACCCGAATCATCTTGTACACATCTTACATTCTCGCATATCAAAGCAATACAATATTCTCTCTTTAATTTACAATTCTCTTGTTTATCAGCTTGTTATGTCTTGACTGTTCTAGCACAACTAGCTCGAGGGTATTCAAGCTCGAGGGCTCTGTTCAAACACTAGTTCGCCTTATATTATAGTTAGTTTCCATCGTTACTCTTTGCATCTATCAATTGGTATTAGGTGAAATCACGTATCCTTAAAATCACATTATAAGTTTAATTGTTATCCAATTTTTAGGGTAAACAATGTACATGAGAAGCAATTAAATAAAAGAAAAGAAATACCTTCGAGTTCTTAAATGTGTAAATTAAGAGAATACGATTCCCCTATGGGAAAATGCATAAGTACCCCCTGACCTATACCCGGATTCCCAACTACACACTTTTTCTTTGAGGGAATCCTATTACCCCCCTAAACTTTTTTTAAATAAAATTATTGGCACCTCTAACGCTGACATGGCAGAGTGTGTGTATTTCACTTTCCTTTGAGAAGCAAGAAAAAACGATTTTCCGATTATTTTTTACCATTTTTTTCTTACTTTTTTTTCGTTTTCCTTTTCCTTTTTCTTTGTATTTTTTCTTTTACTTTTTTTTTTCGTTTCTTCTCTAATTCCGGCGGATATTCATTCACCGGCGACTTTGTCTAACCGTTTTTCTTTCATTTTTTTTTCACACACAAATTAAACTCTCAAAAAGATCTATTCATAAGCAAAGCAAAATACACTCAGATTTGGGGAGAAAAAATTCATCATTGGAAAACATTTCCATGCCGGAAAAAAAATGATGTATTGAAATTTTAACTGGAAAAAGTCTTCTCAGCTTATATACGTTTTTATTTCTTTTGCTCTTCCTCCCACACATAAATTATACTTTCAAGAAAAAATTATATATGTATAAAACAAAACACACTTAGATCGGGATAAAAATTTGTCGCCGAAAAAAAAAATTCGCCGGAAAAATGGTGTTCGTGAAATTCCGACGACCACCATTTTATGCCGTCGGTGACCAAAACAAAAAGAAAGAGAATAAAATAACCAAAAAAATGATAATAATAAGAAATAAGAAAAAAGGATAAGAAAAAGAAGAAAGAATAAAAAAAAAACTAAAAATACATGTGGGGGCGCGTGTAGTTCACCACTTGCCAAGAGTTTGGTTGTCAGTGTTAAGGGTGCAAATAATTCCATTTAAAAAAAAGTTTAGGGGGGTAATAGGATTCCCTCAAAGAAAAAGTGTGTAGTTGGGAATCCGGGTATAGATCAGGGGGTACTTATGCATTTTTACATTCCCTTATAGCAAGTGGTCTTTAAAAGTTCATTAGCGAGTGGGGTTCTAAAATATTAATTAAGATTTTACTCCTCCTTAGTACTGACTATTGTTGAGTATCAGTGATGAGTCCTAACCTAAATAAATTGAGTTTTAAAGTTTTAATTAATACGAGTCTAACTACACGCTATTTCTTTCAAAATTTTTTTTTTTTGGTAGAGGGGGAACCTATAACGAAAAATATGAGTGGTCCGTGACTAGGGAATTAAACAAGAAGATACAGGGTGAGATTTGAATGTTGCATTTAAGTTAATAGTTCCTCCTATGTTTGCTAGTAAATTAATTTGGTTAGATATTTTAGGATTTCCTTTTGGAAGAAGTATATGGCTAGTTGTCTTAATTCAAGACGCGGACCTACCCTTTGGACAGGGGTAACTCCGGAAAAATATATATCTTATACTTCTTCCGTTCACTTTTAGTTGTTCATTTTTACCTTTACACTTCCTTTAAGAAAAAATAAATAAAGTATGTATTTTACAGTTATCCCCATAGTAATGATAACTTTTCAAAAAGTCTTCGAAACTAATTTGGGAAATGAGTAGTTGATGGTAAGGGTAAAATGGAAAAAAAATATCTTTCTCTTAATTTGTTAAAATGGACAAGTAAAAGATAAAATATATTTTTAGTATAGAGGACAAGTAAAAGTGAACTGAAGGAGTATAATAAATATTGCTCCATCAGTTTCAATTTATGTGAACCTATTTGATTGGGTACAGAGTTCAAGAAAGAAATAAAGACTTTTAAATTTGTGGTTCTAAATATGTCATAACATTTATGTGGCTATAATTCATTTGAAACATATGGTGTTAAGCATAACAGAGTATTTGTGTAGCTATAAAAGCTTCTCATTAAGAAATAATTTGAAGTTAAGTTTAGGTTTTTTTTTTATAGCAAATATACCACTAGGTAGGATGCATAGTGGCTAATATATAAAAAAAATTCCAAAATGGTCCAAAGCTTACAAGATGTCCAAAACAAAATAGAAGTTGCATGAAGCTACTAGCTACTAGAAAAATAGAAAAGCTAAGGTCTAATGAACTAGCTATTACAACATGATAAGCTGAATGCTTCCTTCTCCTGTCAATGTATGTGAATCCAATTTCCAATGGCAAATACCAAGCAACACCTATCAAGCTCTCACCAGGCGCCAGGGTGTGCAGTCCATAGGCTAGAATGAAACAGAATTGAAACCAGCAAAATCTTCATATCTTCAATGTTGCTCCAATGTGATCAATTCAAATCAAGACAATGTAATGAATTTGTCATCTTCTCACTCATCAAACTTACCATTCATACTGCATTATCATCTCCAGAATAAGTGTTGAACACACTAATACCACTGAAAAGCGACAATACGATACACAAACTAATAGATACCATGAGTTTTGATACAGAAATCCAGTATATAGTAACCAATGTGCAGCTGCAGCTACAAGTATGTGTAATGGAACACCATTTGATACCATTGATTTCCAGATTTGATCCCTTAGCTTATTCTGCAATGAAAGAGTGCACAATGCATTGAACAGTAGGGTCGTGTATAGGGCTGTGCACAGCACAGACCTACTGTTCATTAGGGTTTTGCTATGTGCATTTTTGACATAAAGCAGTACCTGCCTGGTCTAATTAGTCTATATAACATTAGAGTGTCCCTAGATTGAGAATGATAACATGCTAATACCACTTAGCAACACCCTGAGGTTATGCAGTATGAAACACTATGCAATACAGAAGCAGGCAAATCCAAAATAGACCTAGTACTTGTCATGTGCAAAGAAGTACCTTGTAAGCTGACAGAAATTCCTACCAGAACCTTTGGTGTGTTAGCCATTTTGAACATTGCTAAACCACCTCCAGATTGAACATAAGAACATGCTAATACCACTGGAAGTGATTCAAAAACGTCCAGAAACACAAATGGACATGTTCATGCAGTTCATTAGAACTTGGACATATCAGAAGTAGAAAGAACTGCACCATCCTCTACCTGCTTGTCAAATTCCTGTGCACTATTAAATCACCTCCAGAATGAGCATGTGACCATGCTAATACCACTGGAAAATACCTTAATAGCATACAGTCTAATACCAACCAAAAGAACAAGCAGGTAGGTGCAGAAGCAAGCAATGTGAGGACATTAATCAGGTGCTCTTCTCTTGGATATCCTAACCCTAAGATTAGGTATTTGTGACTTGTCTAAATTGATCAACTTCCTCCCTGCACTAGGTAGCTCAGAGAATGAGTGAAACTCAGAAGTACCTGCAAAAGAAAAAACAATGTTAGCTATAGAGTCTGCCATTGAGTTGCCTTCTCTGAACACATGTTGAAAGATAACATTGAAGTTGTCCTTCATCTCCTTAATTCTCTTCACATCTGGTGCAATTACCCAAGGAGGATCCCATTCCCCTTCTATCACCTTCTTCATCACCAATGAGTCAGTCTCCAAGATGAGACAGTAAAGATCATGCTCCACATAATATTCCAACCCTTGAAGAATAGACTTAGCTTCAGCTACCTTTGTTGTCACCCCCAGGTCTGCTGCCCTAGCATACAACACATCACCTTCATCATTTCTCACACAGAATCCTAGGGAACTAGGACCAGGATTGCCCTTTGATGCTCATCAGTATTGCATTTGTACCATCCATGAAAAGGAAGTTGACATGCTACTCTTCTAGTGATCAATATAGGTTTGTAGCCTTTAAAGAATTGAATCATGTCTGGCCATAACAATGGAATATTAGACGTCCAAGCATACCTCACCCTTGCCAATTGATGCAATGTCCTATTGACTTCATGAATCACCCTATTTGTGGATACTGAACCTCCATGTTTACCTGCATTTCTTCTCTTCCAAAGCTCCCAAGTGATGGTAGCTGGTACTGCTTGTAACAATGGCTTTAATTTTGGACAACGTTGAGCATACCACCAATGCCTTGTAACCTGTTTCAATTGAATCAATGGCACAGTAATTCCAGCAGATCCCATGAACAAGTTCCATACCTTAGAGGCAGTAGGACTTGTGACAAATATATGCTCAATAGATTCCTCTTAGGGCTGCTGACAACACCAACAACTAGACATCACCATTTGCCCGTGCCTCCTCCACATGTCATCAGTGGCTATTTTCTGCCTCCACAATCTTTAATCCATATTAACTTGAACTCCTGATTAGGATCAGCCCTATGCCTTAATATTTGCCAAGCACTGCTAACACTGAACTTTCCTGAAGGAGTTGGCATCTAGTATGGCATATCCCAGTATTCCTCACTGCCTTCATAGTGCACATTGTACCTAGTATGTTTAGCAATTTCTTCATTGAAAGTTTGATCTAGCAACTGATCATCGCATGCTTTCCCTTGCCTCAATTCTGCCACTTCCTGAAGATCTTCATTGATTGGAAAGTCTTCAGGCAGTACATGATATAGTGCTCCCAATCCAGTCAAGTTTTCATGCCATATATTAGTTGTTCCACTCTTCAATTCCCATAAGATCTCATGTTCCACTTCTTCCCTAGTGTTGATACCCAATTTTTTCCTATATATTTTCAATATGCAAAATAACTACAAAATAACACATATATGCATACATAAGCATGTCCAAGTGTTTTATTATTTTTTCCATAATTTTTAAAGGTTTAAATTGATTTATTTTCCCCCTTTTATCCATAAAACCCCCAATAATTATTTCCAAGATGATTATCTTGAGAATCCTTCTATTGGATTTTTATATTTATGCCCAAAATATGGCTAAGGCCATTTTTACATATTTTTACAATTATATTTAGTATTTTTAAAGCTAAATTGCACATAATTGCAATATTAGGCATTTAAGGTTTAATTATGTTTTATACGCATAAAATTGGATCCTATATTTTTTAATTGTTAATTATGTACTATAAATAACTTTACTACTTTAAATTTATTTTTTCAGAAAAACTATTTACTATTTTTTATAAATTAAAAGGGAAAACTGACTATTTAAATAACAACCCATTTGTATTTCAATTGTAGCCTAAATCAAACCCCAACTTCCCAGCCCAATTTTTAATTAAAACCGGACCCCAAACCAATTGAAAACCCACCGGACCAAGCCCAAACCCGGATCCCCACCTACATCATTCAATCTGGACCGTTGATCATTCAGATCAACGGTCTGCAGCTCCCCTTCCTAAATTAAACCCAAACGACCCCCCAAACCCTTTCACTTCTCCACTCAACCGACTTTCTTCTTTCTCTCTCTATCTCTGGTTCTCTCTAGAACCTTCTCCCCTCCCCTCCTCTCCGATGAACTTCGCTCACCTTCTTCGGCCATCTCCTTGCCTGAATCTATGGTGGTCTCACCACCTACCAGCCTTATGGCTCCCTCTTGAACATGCGTCACTGCTTTGAGGCCTTCAAGTGAACCAGAAGCGGTTCACTCGCCTCCCATGGTTTCCCATGCAATTTTCCGGCCATCCATGGCCGTTCGAGTAAGATCTGTGACTTTTCCGGCTATATCGGTAATTTCTCGAAGTTTTCTCACTTTTCTAGGTTCTCCGAAACCCTAACTTTAAAGACTTTCCGATTTTTCCTTCAAATCTGTCTTAGATCTGTGTATGTTTTGAACCTCTTAAGTGTTTTCCTTAAAGGTTTCTCCGATTTTTTCAAAACGACTCTTCGTCTTTAACGATTAGGGTTTTTCTTAAATCTCTTTTAAAAGATTTCTCCTCTGATTTTCAGTATTGTCTTATGATTTTACTATGTTTAAATGGTTTGTTTATGTTTTCTCTGACCTGGCTCATCGTGTTGAAAACCCTAAGGATCTTTGGATTATCCGGGGTTCTGGAGTTGTCCTTCTGTATTTGTTTATATGCCTGTTTTGATTGGGTTCTTTATGGTTAAATCCTTTTTCTTTGTTTGTCTTGAATGATTCTGAGTTCTTACCGCTTTTTAACTCAACTTTGTTAAAACCCTAATTTCCTAAAATTTTCCTCACTTGTTACTGTGAGTTTAAATACTAATTTTTTACTTGTTTCTATGTGTTGGTTCGATCTCCTTTACCTGTTGCTATGTGTTAGACTGGTTTCTTCATTTTTGTCCTATGTGTGAGCCATGACTGTTTGACCTTGTTGATTACCATGCTTTGAGTAATCCTTAGCCTATTCATGTCGCTTCTGTACGTCTATGGTCATCTAGTTTTCTCCTTTCTGTCAATATGTTTGACCCTGCATGTCTGATACGCCTGTTCATTCTTTTCTATTTATATGCTGAATTGCAGAATCATGATTCCTTCTTGATTGATCTTGATTTTCTCAAGTTATGGTTTGATTGCAAGGTTTTCTTATAAACCCCTAATTTTAGTCGTTTGATTAAGTTAATTGATTTCCATTCCTTTATTTATTGTTTCACCCCTGCTGAATCCTTTCCCCAAATTAAGTATATTTTGTACTTAGACTCAATTGTATACTCTATATTCTTACTATCCCTTATATGGTCAGAAATCAATCTTCTTCAAATTGATTTTTCTTTCCTTAATTATCCTGTTACTATCCGTTAAGCAGTAATTCCTTGATTAAAGGGAAGTACTTGTACTAATGGGATTCTGATTGTGATTATTTCCATACTTGTGTTAAAACTTTACTTGTTACCTTATTTTCTACTCGTTTTCAAAGCTATAAATTCCTACCCTCTCTTCTCTAAACACACGAACAACTGAGTTCAAAACACACACTTACACGTTCAAACTCTCTTTCTTTCTCTACTACTTGTGCTCCTGCTTTGTCTAGCCGACTGAAAGCCAAGGCTAGACTGTGGAATTCTGATTGCTTTACTTTTCTTTTTCTGCACTTTGCTTCTTCAACTGGTATGTCCCTAGTTTTAATTATGAAACTCAAACCTATGTGTTCCCTTATTGTCGACCACTGTCTCTTTCTGCACTGACTTAATGGCTCATGCTGTTGCACTTTTTGTTTACTGCTTTACCAACATGCTTAAAATTCTGCCCTTTTTTGTTCAAATATTTTTACTTGTTCCTGCTTGTGTCCCTCAACTAGCATGTCTTCTAATGTACTTGATTCATGACTAATTATGTGTTTCTGTTTTGGGTCTTCTATGTCCCCAACCCCTACTCCCTGTTTGTAACTGCTGAAGCATGTACCCCTCCCTGAACTTGTTCTGTGGTTTTGTTGCTCCTATCCCTTGCCCCCTTTCAAAACTCTTCTACTGTCCTACAAACTTATCTCACACATGCTTTTTTTTGTTTTTTTTTAAAACTATTTCAAGCACTCTCACATGCACTCTTAGATCATTAGGTTCTGCCCCTCTTGTGTGAGCCTTGCTTTGGGACCCTTGAGCTCCCTCTGAACCTGGACACATAAGGGCTGGCCCTTTCCACACTGCACCTACTCTTGGTTATGCAATCTGGGTGTGAGCACTGCCCGGGATCCCTTGAGGTCCTTAGGAACTTTGACACACCCAGGTATGAGGAAAAGCTTTGGAACAATATTAGCATTTGAGGTGGTTTATTACGTAACTCAGAGATGAAGTCAGAATCAGGCTTCCTATAGTTGTAACTTCTTATTTTTTATTTCTTCTTATGTAATTCAATCACATGGTCTGTAATAATTTGTAAACAAGTACCGGGGTCGCTAGTGAAAAGGGATGGGGAAATATGCATGATATAGTTGTTAAAGGGTAGAAAGCATGTCATTAGGTTTATATTCCTAATTGTGTAATAGAAACCATGTTTAAGATTCATTATGCATTAGAAATCATGCTCTTAGGACCTTTGTTTCTCGCTTCAGCACTTCATTCATTAGTCCATGTTTTATCACTTAGAAATCCTGCTCCTAGGGCAATAACAACACTGGTTAAAAGGATGTTATTTCAAAATCCTGCAACTCTTATGTACGTTTAGAAATCATGCCTTAGGGATTCTGTTTTTTTCACAACCTGTGCAATTTGCATATTAGATACCATGTTCTAGGATCATGTTTGCATTTTGCTTAAAAACGCCAAGTTTCATGAAAAGGTAGTAAAGTAATAATTTTCATATTGTGATGCTTCTGAATAAAAAAAATTGGTAACCATCTCTGCAACTAGAGCAACATGCTCTTAGGCTAAAATAATCTCCAAACTGCTCTTAATAACTTGGGATAACTGTTGTATATCGCTTTACGCCTAGGCAAGCCTTAGGTAATAACTTTAATAAAACTGGAACTGCCTTTGTTTAATTATCAACTATTAAAATCAGTAGGCAAACCTGATTCGGATTTCTTTTCTGAGTCATCTGATAAATCTGGTTCTGACGTTATCACTCAAACACCCTACTTTAGGATTTTAAATTCAGACCTTAATTGTGTATAAGTCATGCTGTCTATGTGCATTATCTGGGGAGGTATATCTGAACTTTCTATTCGTTTTCTGTGTTTTCCCCCTTTAAATGCAGTCCTACCTGTTTTGTATGTCGCCTTAGTATTTTGCCTTTAAACCTGAGGGTCTACCTAGAACCTCCTTCTTATAGGATAAGAGTCCTAACCTTCGGGACTAATAGGAAGGGACGGGTAACAACATGCAATAAGAATCGAGACCAACCCTCGCTTTAATTACCTTCACCGGGGGAGGGGGGGTAGATATGGATATGATGATCGGTGCGCTAATGCCATGCGTAGCCCCTTTCTAAGGAGTGATTACCAGGCATTGTACTGATCTGATCCATATTACAAACAAACCTAGGACCCATTTTACATTCATAAGCATGCTTAGATTATAACTCTTTTCAAAACCTTGCTTTTTTTTATTAATCATTTTTCAAACGCTTGTGTATTTTAACCTAAATCACCTGCTGTGAGCCTTACTTATCTATTTGCTAATTGCACAAATTCACAAAAAACTGTCTGGCCGAGAACCACACTAGTGGATCCTGAGGGTTGCCTAACACCTTCCCCTTAGGATAATTTCAAGCCCTTACCCTATCTCTGGTTATCAAACGTAGTTGTAGATAAACCCTGTAGATGCCCTAGCGCACCTTAAAAATTGTTAGGTGGCGACTCTTCAAAAACGCAATACCCAATTCCCAAAAGGAAATGAGTCATTACACCTCCATGAATGTCGAAACCCGGACTCCTCTCCGCGGAGGGGAAAAGGGGGCGCGACACCTAGCATTTAGCATTTGTCTCCAAACATGAGACCCTTCCCTAAACTGCACCACTATTGGTAATTCCTTTTTGCAATACTTGTTCCACATGAATTTAGAACACAAAGATTTTGTGGTCTTAAACCTCCACCATAGCTTAGCAAACAGTGCCCTTGAGACATCATGTAAGGACCTAAAACCTAGACCCCCATCTTCTTTAGGAAGACAAAGATTTTGCCAAGAAGCCCAATGTCTGCTCCTCCCTTCTTCCTTTGTGCTCCAAAAGAACCTAGCAAAGATCTTATGTAGATGCTCCGGGATGTTGTTTGGTGGATCAAGGACTGATAACATATGAATTGGCATAATTTGCAACACACTAGTGATGAGCGTTGCTTTTCCTCCAAATGACAGTAGCTTCCCTTTCCATGAATGCAATTTATCCTTCACCTTCTTGATAAGATCCTCATAATACTCATTTCCTCCTTCTAGTGTAGAAAATAGGACATCCTAGGTATGTGAAGGGGAATTTACCTCTTGCAAATCCAATGATAGCTCCAACTGCCTGAAACAATCCATTAGCAACATTTGAATGCATGTAGTATGAACTCTTATCTTTGTTGATCATCTGGCCTGATATCCTCTCATAGTTTCCCAACACTGACATAATCTTGCTCAAAGAGGAAGGATGAGCAGATGCAAAGATTATGGTATCATCAGCATATGCCAAGTGGTTTAAAGGATCAGACCACTTAGGCATTCCAAATCCCACAAATGACTTGTCTTCAAAGAGCTTATTCAAAGACCTAGAAAGTACCTCAGCTAATAGAATGAACAAAGCTGGAGATAGAGGATCCCCTTGCCTCACACCCCTTGTAGACTTGAAGAACCCTGAGGACTGCCCATTCACCAACACTGAGTACCAATTATTTGACACCAAGTTCACACCATGTTGATGAAGTGTTCAGAAGATCCAATCTTCCTTAACACATGCAATAAGTACTTCCATGGAACCCTATCATAGGCCTTAGCCATGTCAAGCTTGATCACCACATCAGCTGGCTTTCCCCTTAACCTTATGTCAGTCACAATTTATTGAGTCAATAGGATGTTTTCAAATATACTCCTACCCTTTACAGATCCGGATTGGTTTGGAGATATTAGAGATGGCAGAAATCTCTCCAATCTATCATGTAACACCCTAGACAAGACCTTGTTAATGAAATTTCTCAAACTAATAGGTCTTAAATCAGAAAAGGTCTCAAATCTAGGTTTCTTTGGCAGCAACACTAGATTGGTGTGAGTGATGGATTTAGGCAATGAAGCTCCTCCATAGAAGTGTAGCACCATATTGTGTATGTCAGCACCAATAACATCCCAGCATGTTTGATAAAATAGGCCAGTGAATCCATTGGGACCACTAGCACTCTCCCCAGCAAGCTCAAAAACTGCTGCCCTAACTTCTTCATTTGTTGGCATTCTGCTAAGTTCCAAGTTCTGATCCATAGTGACCATGGAAGGTACATTATTGAGCAAAGAAAAGTCAGAGGCATCACCTTCATTTGTGAACTGTCTTTGATAGAAGTCCACTGCAGTTGTAGACAATTGCTCTTGATCATCAATCCACACCCCATTGCCAGTTTTGATCCCATTCAATTGTAATTTCTTTCTTTTGTCATTGACATGATTGTGGAAGAAGCTTGTATTCCTATCACCTTCAGCAAGCCAAGTCATCCCAGCTTTTTAATTCCAATACTGCTCCTCAATCTCAAGTATTTCTTCAATTTAGATTGAGCTTTTTGAAGCACAATCCTATTCTCAATAGAAGGTTCTTCTTCAAACAACATCTCCTTCACCCTAACAATGTCCTCCAAAATAACCAATTGCTTGAATATATCACCAAATATTTCCCTACTCCATTTTGAAAGAGCTGCCTTCACCCTCTTGAGCTTCTACTTGAACATCAAAAAGGATTCCCTATGAAATCAGCTTCCCAGTTCTGCCTCACCACATCCATGAATGTAGCACGCTTGGTCCAAAAGTTCAAAAATCTGAAAGGCTTTACAAAATTAGTAGTCTGCTCCCCACATGTCATTAGCAAGGGTGCATGATCTAATCGAGTTCTAATAAGATGTTCAACTTCAGTGGTTGGCAACATGTTCTGAAATGGCAAGTTTACAAAGATCCTATCCAATCTCTTGAATATACACTCACCATTAGGTCTCCCATTCCACCATGTAAAGGGACTTCCTTTGTGACCTTGCTCAAACAGACCATAAGAGTTTACACAAAATGCAAAGTCCTCATATTCAGGAGGATGTACTGGAAGTCCCCCTATCTTCTCGTCTTCATGTAACACTACATTAAAGTCCTCTCCTACCAACCATGGAAACTCCATATCACTTGCTAAGTAATACAAATGATCCCACAATTTCACCCTCTCTAATGCTAAATATTTTGCATAAACAAATGTCATCATCATGTGCTGCCCCATGTCATGGTGAAACACTTTCACTGTCACTTGTTGCTTAGTATCCTCAACTAGTTCCTATTCCACCACTGCATCAAAGAATAGCCATATTTGCCCATTAATGTTTGCATAAGCAGTCTCCATATGTAGTCTCCTTCTATATTTGTTAATGAATCCCTTCTTTTGAAAAGGCTCCATCAATGCAATTACGAAGAAATTGTGTTCCCTCTGCATGTTGATCACTCTAGGAAAGGCCTGCTGTGTATTCACAGACCATATGTTCCAAATAAGTGTTTTGATCATCATCATTTAAATAGAGAAGCTGCCCTCCTTGGCATAACTCTTGAAGGTTGAATAGGTTCTTTATTCTGATTCTTCGTTGTTTTCTTACCTCCCTTAGCACTAGCTGTAGGTGATAAATCAGCTTCCCTAGCCACTTGTTTGAAGTTTTTGCAGTTGATTCATCATCTCCTTCATCCTCCATTGGATTCTATCTCAATATGTCTTCATCAATTGGTGTCACATTTTGTGTAACTAAATCATGTAAACGCTGCAAAGGATTCTTCAATGGAACAGTATGGTGCAGCTGCATGATTTGATCAGTGCCAGATTCCATAGGCACTACCTCTATTTCCCAGTTGCTCTTGGTACAATTGCCTGCTCAAGTTGTTCCTTAGAATGTTCATTCCCCTTGTTCTGCTCTATAGAGGACACAACAACCTGCATCATTTTGAATTTCATCTCATAGACACTGCCCAGCCCAGGAGTTACTATAGCAGCCTGCCCAGAAATTACTATTCCATCACCCTCTTTCCCATGTCCTGTCTGTTGGTCTGACCTCACTGTATCCTTCCTAACCTTCATATGAACACCCTCATCAAGTCCCTTCTCCAATGCATATACAGGAACTCCCTCAATAAAAGCCAAAATCTCCCCAGTTTTGCTAGGTTTTACGGTTCCATTGCCCTTCTTCTTGCTCAATGATAATTGACTTGATCCACTTTGATTTTCAGCTTCCATAGATGATCCTTTACCACTTCCAATTTATTTCCCTGATTGCTGCATCATAGGACTCGAACTACAATCAACCCTAGTTTTTGGACTGCTAGGACTATAGCTTCCTCAGGATTGCCAGATTTTTGCAGCTGATTGTTGTCCCTCTTTACCATGTCTCCTGTTTCCTGTGTTGTGCCCAGTTGATCTTCCATGACCTCAACTTCATCACTCCATAGAGGTTTTGAAGAATTCACCCCATTTTAGTCCTCCAGCTGCCCAGAATCACCATAAGTTTGAGATGGAATCTCATGACAAGATTGGTTTATGGTCACATTGAGTTGCCTTAGCTCCTCCTTGCTAGTACCAAACCTTCTATGAACCCAGTCGATTGTGGATTCTTTATTAGCCCCATCATCAGTCCTTTGATCAGTAGGAACAATAGAGTTAGCCTTAACTAATTCTTGAACACCTTCAGGAGCTGATGGTTGAATCCCGATAAAAGTAGGACTCCCATTATTCTAATTATCTAACACCTTCTCAACTGCTTCTTTTTGAAACGCTTTAATTCCTCTTGAATCTCTTCTCTAGCTGGATTAGGATTCCCTTTTTCCCAGCTACCCTAATCCAGTAGCAGTAGGATTAGGGCTTAGAATTCGGAATTGGATTCCTTTTCCTTCTCCTGATGCTTCTTGGATTGTTTTTCCCCTTGTTCCTTCTTCTTACCATTCCCATGATCTTCACCTTCACCTTCAGTAATCTGTAGAGTAGGATGATGAACTTCCTCCACCTCTAGTGCATTAAACTTGTTCTTGGTTACAACTTCCTCAAATTTGGCCTTCCCTTTACCCTTGTCATCTTCCTTTCCTTGTTTGTCTTTAGTAATGTGACCCCTATTATCTCGTTGGTATTTGTTCATCCTTGCTTGCATCCATTCCTTCTTGGCATGATTAGTAATTGGCTTACCAACCACTTTGCCACTTGACAAAACCTTAGTTGAATTAGCAGCAGTACCTACTAATTCCTTTCCAGCATTTTGTTCCTCTTCTTTGTCCTCATGGCTCTTGTGCAATTCTGGGTGAATTACCCAACAGTCAACTTCATTATGGCCTTGTTTCTTGAAAGTTCTACAATATTTGGGCATATAATCATACTTAATCCTTATCCACTTGAACTCCTCAGGTCCAGTTTCATCTTCTTCCTCAACTATCTTAATACGTTGAGGGAACTTAGTTAGTAGATTAACCTCAACATTTACCTTGGCACAGCTACGTCTAGTACCATTCTGAGTTGCAAGAACCACATGTAGAGGGTTCCCCACTGCACATTCCTTACCAAAGAAGTTTGGTGGCAATTCAGGAAAACTAATCCATGCTACAGCTACAGGGATCTCTTCATTAGATTTCCACCATGGATTCCACTTGGTACACCTCATCTGCCACATATCACCTTGTGCTTTGAGGTAGAATGCAGGTTTAGACAGTAGATGAACATAGTCTTCAAGCAATTAGAGAATTATTAACACATGATTATTAACCCAATAGAACAAGCTCCTTTCAATTCACATTGAATAGGAATAACCTTATACAATTCATTAATGACAAGTTTACCATACGAAAATTTGCAAAAGAATAGCTAATTACAAACCTTGTTGGATGATGGATTGTTTAACTTCTTGCTTCTTCCACTTGATAACAGGCTCACCATGAAGAAACTCCACAGTTTTGACGGGCAGTTTTGCTAGGGTTTGCATGGGCGCATTCAATGCTTTGGGTTGTAGTAATTGCGCATAATTCTGGATTGGATTAGGGTTAGATATAGGTTGGGGGGCTGTGGGGAGGTGTTTGAGGACTGACCAACCTCAGGAGGAGGCTGGCCAGTGGCCGGAGAAGCGATTAACGAGCTTCAAAAAGCTTCGAGCTTCTGTCGTCTCAAATCGCCAGTCGCCAGAGCTTCTCTTTCCTCACACGTGGGGGGGGGGGGGTAGGTTTTTTTTAGTTTAGGTATTTCCAAATTTAGAAAGAGGTCTTCTTTTTTTAACGGAAATCACATAAATTGAGAAAGAGGGAGTATACATTTTGATTGGCATCCAAAGATTCATCATAAGCAGCTGCATTGGTCGTTTTAAGGGATACAACTTGGCTTTTAGTACACTCCCTAGGTTCAGTTCTGATTCTGACATTTGCTCAAATTTTTATTCGATAATAATATCCTGCCACTTTCAAATTATGGATCCGCTTCTACTTAATTCTTATTGTAATAGCTAAAAAACTTCTGACTCTGTTGCCCGTGACAAGTCTACATTTTGTAGTGATGCATAGTTATACATAATATTATCCTTTTAACCAAAAAAAATAGAAGCAACGTGAAATTGCAACTACTAATAGCCTATTTGGCTAAGTTTCTCCAATCCTAGAAGCACTTATTTTTTTAAAAAGTGATTTTTTTTTCAAAGTTGACGTGTTTGGCCAAGCTTTTGGAAGAAGAAAAAAAGTGCTTTTTAGGAGAAGCAGAAGTAGTTTTGGAGAAGCAGAAAAAAGTAGTTTCTCTCTAAAAGCACTTTTGAGAAAAATACACTTAGAAGCAATTTTTAAAAGCTTGGCCAAACACTAATTACTTCTCAGAAGTGTTTTTCAAATTAATTAGCCAAACACAAATTGTTTCTCACCAAAAGTACTTGAAAAAAAATACTTCTCAAAATAAGTTGATTTTTGCAGCTTGGCCAAACAGGCTATAAGCTACAACCAAAACCCCGTATATTGTATTGAACAAAATCTGACTTCGGCCTACTGATTTTCAGCATCCGATCTGGTACTCTGATCAGTCACATTTTACGAATTTGACGATCGATTAATTTCTTTATACTCCCTACGTTCATTTTTACTTGTCCACTATAGACTTTGCATGCCCCTTAAAAAATAACAAATGAAGCGCATAATTTATCATGATACCCATATTAATTGATGCATATTTTTAATGAATTTGAGAAAATGATTTGAAATGAGTAATTAATACTGTGGGTATAACAAGAAAAAATAAATTATCTTCTCTTGATATGCTAAAAGTGACAAGTAAAAGTGAAAATCTATTTTTACAATACTGAACAAGTAAAAGCGAACATAAGGTGTAAAAAGTTTCTATATATAGGAACCACATAAAAAGATACTACTTTTATACAATGTACTCTCTCCGGTCCACAATAAGTGATTTTTTTGGTCTTTTTTTTGTGGTCCAAAATAAGTAATTTTTCCAGATTTCAAGGATGAATTAA